GAATGTCGTTTCTCTTTGCTTATTTGAGCTGTTCTTGCCATAATATGGACTTGGTCTTTTACCAAATAGGGCTATCTTCTTTATACCCCCCCTACCTTGTCACAACACAACTGATTGGCTCAAACGCATTTTAGAAGGAAAGAAATTCCACGAATTAACTTTTAACAAGGCACACCTGTTAATTGAAATGCATTCCAGGTGACTACCTCATGAAGCTGGTTGAGAGAATGCCAAGAGTGTGCAAAGCTGTCATCAAGGAAAAGGGTGGCTACTTTGAAGAATCTCACAATTTAGATTTTTCTAAACGCTTTTATTGGTGACTACATGATTCCATTTGTGTTCTTTCATAGTTGTGGTGTCTTCACTATTATTCTAACATTTTGAAAATAGTAAAAACAAAGACAAGCCCTTGAATGAGTAGGTGTTGACCAAACTTTTGACTGGTACTGTATATGTAGGTAGGGGTAAAAGTGACTAGTCAATCAGGATAGATAATAAACAGAGTAGCAGCAGTGTTGGTAGTTGAGGTAATATGTACATGTAGGTAGGGGTAAAAGTGACTAGTCAATCAGGATAGATAATAAACAGAGTAGCAGCAGTGTTGGTAGTTGAGGGTAATATGTACATGTAGGTAGGGGTTAAAAGTGACTAGTCAATCAGGATAGATAATAAACAGAGTAGAACAGCAGTGTTGGTAGTTGAGGGTAATATGTACATGTAGGTCGGGGGTAAAAGTGACTAGTCAATCAGGATAGATAATAAACAGAGTAGCAGCAGTGTTGGTAGTTGAGGGTAATATGTACATGTAGGTAGGGGTAAAAGTGACTAGTCAATCAGGATAGATAAAAACAGAGGTAGAGACAGCAGGTTGGTAGTGTGAGGTAATATTGTACATGTAGGTCAGGGTAAAAGTGACTAGTCAATTCAGGATAGATATAAACAGAGTAGCAGCAGTGTTGTGTAGTGATGGGTAATATGACATGTAGGTCGGGTAAAAGTGACTAGTCAATCAGGATAGATAATAAACAGAGTAGCAGCGTGTTGGTAGTTGAGGTAATATGTACAGTAGGTAGGGGTAAAAGTGATAGTCAATCAGGACAGATAATAAACAGAGTAGCAGCAGCTACGTGAAGATGTGAAAGTGTGGTGTGTGTGGTGTGTGGTATGTGTGTGTGTGTGTGTGTGTGGTGTTGTGTGTGGTGAGTGGGTGGTGTGTGGGTGTGTGTGTGTGTGGTCAGGATGTCTGGTTGTGTGTGAGTGTGTGTGGTGTGTGTGTGTGAGTGTGTGAGTATGTAGTGGAGTGTGTGTGTGTGTGTGGTGTGTGTGTGTGTGAGTGTGTGGTGTGTGTATGTGTGAGTGTGTGTGTGTGTATGGTGAGGTGTGTGTGGTGTGTGTGGAGTGTGTGTGGGTGTGTGTGTGTGGCTAAATGCTGTTTTGTATGTGTGTGTGTGTGTGTGAGTATGTGTGTGAGGTGTGTGGTGTGGTGTGTGAGTTTGTGGTGTGATGTGTGTGTGGTGTGTGGTGTGTGAGAGGTGTGTGTGGTGGTGGCATCAATATGCATGTTTGTGATTTTGTGTGTGAGTATGTAGTGTGTGTGTGTGTGTGTGTGGTTGTGGGTGTGTGTGTGTGTGTTGGTGTGGTGTGTGTGTGAGTGTGTGGTGTGTGTGTTGTGTGTGTGGTGAGAGTGTGGTGTGTGTGTGTGAGGTGTGTGGTGTGTGTGTGTGTGTGTGTGTGTGTGTGTGGTGTGTGGGGGTGGGGTGTGTGTGTGTGTGTGGCACAAAATGATGTTGTGTATTTGTGTGTGAGTGTAGGTGAGTGTGTGGTGTGTGTGTGTGTGTGTGGTGTGTGTGGTGTGTGTGTGTGTGTGTGTGTGTGTGTGTGTGTGTGTTGTGTGTGAGAGTGTGTGAGTGTGTGTGGTGGTGTGTGTGTGTGTGTGTGTGTGTGTGTGTGTGAGGGTGTGAGTGTGTGTGTGTGTGAGTGATGTGATAGGTGTGTGTGTGAGTGTGTGTGTGTGTGTGAGTGTGGTGTGTGTGTGAGTGTGTGTGTCTGTGGTGTGTGTGTGTGTGTGTGTGGTGTGTGTGGAGGTCAGTATGTATGGTGGTTGCGTGGGTAGAGTCCAGTGTAATTACAAGGTGGTCACTCCAAATCAGTATGAGTTGTGTCTTTGTTATGCGGAGGGAGTATTCAATATTCTAGGATGTTCTTGGGCCTGTGTGTCCGTGGCGATGGGAGCCTGGTATGTGACGTCACGTCGCTAAGCAACAACTGTAAACAAGTGTGCCCATATATCATATCTGAGCCACCCTCTCTCTCTCGCGATCCTCTCTCTCTCTCTCTCTCTCTCTCTCTCTATCATCTCTCTCTCTCTCTCTCTCTCTCTCTCCTCTATCTTCTCTCTCTCTCTTTTAAAAGTGTGAGTGCAATCTTTGTGAGAAATGTGTGTGTAATCGAGTAACACTCCCAGCTTTTCCCTGGCAGACAGCAGCCCCCTCTGTCTCTCTGAAGGGTATAAAACCCAAGAGGACAGACAGAACACGGCTTTGACACGGCTCCATGCAGCTTCATTGTAGACCTACAACTCCACCCACGGGCCACAATACTCATTACCTTCCTCTTTCATTTGGGAACAATCTGGAAAAATCTGGAACGAGAGTGAATGGCATCAGGAAAATGAGGATGCATTGGTAAGTGTGTGTGTGTGTGTGTGTGTGTGTGTGTGTGTATGTGTGTGTGTGTTTGTGTGTGTGGACATATTTAACTGTATTTAACTATTCTTGTGGGGACCAGAAGTCCCCACAAGAATAGTAAACACAAATTTGACCAACTGGGGACATTTTGTTAGTCCCAACAATGTCAAATGCCATTTCTAGGGGGTTTAGGATTAAGGTTAGAATTAGTGTTAGGGTTAGAATTAGTGTTAGGGTTAGGAGCAAGGGTTAGTTTTAGGGTAAGGAGTTAAGGTTAGGCTTTTGGGATAAGGTTAGGTTTTTGGGATAAGGTTAGGGTTAAGGTGAAGGGTTAGGGTTAGGGTTAGGGGTTAGGGAAAATAGGATTTTGAATGGAACTGAATTGTGTGTCCCCACAAGGTTAGCTGTACATGACTGTGTGTGTGTGTGTGTGTGTGTGTCTTTAATAATAATGAGAGTGAAATTAATATCACAAATGATAATGAAATACTGTATATCAATATACAGTACCAGTCCAAAGTTTGGACACACCTACTCATTCAAGGGTTTTCTTTATTTTTACTATTTTCTACGTTGTATAATAATAGTGAAGACATCAAAACTATGAAATAACACATATGGAATCATGTAGTAACCAAAAAAGTGTTAAACAAATCAAAATATATTTTATATTTGAGATTCTTCAAAGTAGCCACCCTTTGCCTTGATGACAGCTTTGTACAATCTTGGCATTCTCTCAACCAGCTTCATGAGGTAGTCACCTGGAATGCATTTCAATTAACAGGTGTGTCTTTTTAAAAGTTAATTTGTGGAATTTATTTCCTTCTTAATGCGTTTGAGCCAATCAGTTGTGTTGTGACAAGGTAGGGGTGGTATACAGAAGATAGCCCTATTTGGTAAAAGACCAAGTCCATATTATGGCAAGAACAGCTCAAATAAGCAAAGAGAAATTATAGTCCATCATTACTTTAAGACATGAAGGTCAGTCAATACAGGATATTTCAAGAACTTTTAACATTTCTTCAAGTGCAGTCGCAAAAACCATCAAGCGCTATTATGAAACTGGCTCTCATGATGACCAGTTAAGTGTGAGACCCAGAGTTACCTCTGCTGCAGAGGATAAGTTCAATAGAGTTACCAGCCTCAGAAATTGCAGTCCAAATAAATGCTTCACAGAGTTCAAGTAACAGACACATCTCAACATCAACTGTTCAGTGGAGACTGCGTGAATCAGGCCATCATGGTCGAATTGCTGCAAAGAAACCACTACTAAAGGACACCAATAATAAGATGAGACTTGCTTGGGCCAAGAAACATGAGTCCAGTCTTTGTGAGACGCAGAGTAGGTGAACGGATGATCTCTGCATGTGTGGTTCCCACCATAAAGCATGGAGGAGGAGATGTTATGGTGTGGGGGTGCTTTGCTGGTGACGCTGTCAGTGATTTATTTAGAATTCAAGGCACACTTAACCAGCATGGCTACCACAGCATTCTGCAGCGATATGCCATCCCATCTGGTTTGCGCTTAGTAGGACTGTAATTTGTTTTTCAACAGGACAATGACCCAACACACCTCCAGGCTATGTAAGGGCTATTTGACCAAGAAGGAGAGTGATGGAGTGCTGCATCAGATGACCTGGCCTCCACAATCCCCCCACATCAACCCAACTGAGATGGTTTTGGTGGGTTGGACCACAGAGTGAAGGAAAAGCAGTCAACAAGTGCTCAGCATATGTGGGAACTCCTTCAAGACTGTTGGAAAAGCATTCCAGGTGAAGCTGGTTGAGAGAATGCCAAGAGTGTGGAAAGCTGTCATCAAGGCAAAGGGTGGCTACTTGAAGAATCTCAAATATAAAATATATTTTGATTTGTTTAACACTTTTTTGGTTACTACATGATTCCATGTGTTATTTCATAGTTGTGATGTCTTCACTATTATTCTACAATGTAAAAAATAGTAAAAATAAAGAAACACCCTTGAATGAGTAGGTGTGTCCAAACTTTTGACTGGTACTGTATATCTTTACTGCAATGTATAACTTTACTCTCATGCAATGTATATCTTTACTGCCATGTATATCTTTACTGCCATGTATATCTTTACTGCCATGTATATCTTTACTGCATGTATATCTTTACTGCCATGTATATCTTTACTGCCATGTATATCTTTACTGCATGTATATATTTAGTGCCATGTATATCTTTACTGCCATGTATATCTTTACTGCCATAGCTCTGCTGATAAACCTCTTAGTGCTGCTTTCCATTGAAGAGCTGATGGTTGGACTGTGTGTTGTTGTTGTTCTCAGTGAGACTTCACCCCTTCACCTGACATCCATCTGGGTCTTCACTCTGTGTGCCGTTTGGACAACAGCTGCAGGTGACCAGACTCCCGTCTTCATCACTCCAAACACACCGACAGCCAGCGAGACGAACACACACACAACCATCCTCCCTAGCAAAGACAGCCGTCCAACAGACACCAGGAGCCCAGACGGACAAACCTCCAGCAGCCGTCCAACAGACACCAGGAGCCCAGACGGACGTACCTCCAGCAGCCGTCCAACAGACACCAGGAGCCCAGACGGACGTACCTCCAGCAGCCGTCCAACAGACACCAGTAGCCCAGACGGACGTACCTCCAGCAGCCGTCCAACAGACACCAGGAGCCCAGACGGACGAACCTCCAGCAGCCGTCCAACAGACACCAGGAGCCCAGACGGACGAACCTCCAGCAGCCGTCCAACAGACACCAGGAGCCCAGACGGACGTACCTCCAGCAGCCGTCCAACAGACACCAGGAGCCCAGACGGACGAACCTCCAGCAGCCGTCCAACAGACACCAGGAGCCCAGACGGACGAACCTCCAGCAGCCGTCCAACAGACACCAGGAGCCCAGACGGACGTACCTCCAGCAGCCGTCCAACAGAAAGGAGAGTAGCTCTAACATCCAGTCCTAATGAGGGGAGCTTTAGTCTTGGTCTGATAGATATGAATGGAGTTCAGGCTTAATCCAGTTTAGTACTGGAGTGATAGCCCAGAGAGCTTATGCATTTTTCTTACCATTATCTTCAATACGTAGTAAATACATGTTTGCTGTGCTTACAGATATGAGAGGTTGGGGAGCTCCACACAGAGAGTCCCGGAAACAGGGACCGTGACGACCGTCGAAGGGACCATCACGACCACTGCTGCCATGACAACAATAGTAACCAGTGCAAGTGTCGCTTCCTCACACCCCGCCTCACACCCCGCCTCACAACCCTCACACAGTCACATCACCGGTGGCGACAAACCCCATAGCAACAACACCAGTACCAACCCCCGCCCTCAAAAAGCCACCCTGCTGTCCGCGCCCCACTCGCAGGCCCACCCTTCCCCCTCATCTGTTCATAGGTGACGAGGACCACTATGACGACGAGTCTGAAGAAGAGGAGGAAGAGGAGGAAGAGGAGGAAGAGGAGGAAGGAGGAAAACTCATGAAGGACAATCTGTGTGACTTTGACCCCTGCTTGCACCTGCAGAGAACCTGTCCAGAGGTCAGGGAGGCCAAGGGGCTGAGCTGCCGCTGCCCGGGCCTGTCTCCAACCTCTGTGACCCCTGACCCTGTGGTGGCGCTGGAGGTGTGGGGGGTGTGGCCTGAGGCTGTGAGGGTGCGCTGGTGCGCCCCCTTACTCGGCTGTGAGTAAGTTTAGTGTGTGGGCGCTGAGAGAGAACGGCAGCGTGTTCAGCAACGGCAGCGTGAGCGCCTGGTCACGCCAGGCCAGCGTGTTCGGGCTAGAAGCGGGGCGGAGATATGGAGTGTGTGTGAGCGCACAGAATGGAGCAGGAACATCACACACCCGCTGTGTGCCTGTGTCCACCCCGGTAGGTGCGGAGGCAGTTAAGTTTCTATGTGCTGACGGGGACTATGTGCAGCCCTGGTGATGGTGGTTGTTGTGTTGAGTGTGTGTCTTCACAGGATCAGGAGGAGAGGCCCATCGATGAACACACACAGTCTTTTTGACCCGCAGGCTCACGCACTCCACCATCCACGCCTCACCAGCCTGGTTTCCATTTCTAACCCTGCCTACACACACACCGACGAACACACTGCACCTCCCTCTGCACGCACACGCTGCCCACAGGGAGACCCCGGCTAAAGTTATCCACTAACGTGACGCGATAAATAATAACACCTGTAACCGTCCCATTACCACCCTTACCCACATACCTACCACCCTACAGCAGATTGCACATATCAGCACTGGGCTATGCATCGTACCACTCACCCACACAGTACTCAACTGGCATGTTCTCATTCAAATGAAGTGATTTAAGAAATACATTCAAATCGTTTTGTTTTTTTGTACATCTCATTTTCCATTAAGTTGTAATAAAAGTATATTTTTTAACTTGTATTGTTTACTGTTGTAGAACCCTGCAGAGAATGGATAGGGAGGCTATATTTGCATGATCACGTGGTCCTCTGTAGCTCAGCTGGTAGAGCACTGGCGCTTGTAACGCCAATGTAGTGGGTTCGATTCCCGGGACCACCCATACACAAAAAATGTATGCACGCACGACTGTAAGTCGCTTTGGATAAAAGCGTCTGCTAAATGGCATATTATTTTTTTTATTATTATTTCCATAACACTACGTACAGTGGCCAGATGAGGGCAGTATAATTGCAATGTGGGAGCTAGACTGGGATTGGGTATGAGCAGCGGTGTAAAATACTTTCAAGTACTACTTAAGTTGTTTTTTTGGGGGGGTATCTGTACTTTACTTTACTATTTATATATTTGGCTACTTTTACTTTTACTTCACTACATTCCTAAAGAAAATAATTTACTTTTTACTCCATACATTTTCCCGAACACCCAAAAGTGCTCGTTACATTTTGACAGGAAAATGGTCCAATTCACACACTTATCAAGAGAACATCCCTGGTCATCTCTACTGCCTCTGATCCGGCGGACTCACTAAACACAAATGCTTCGTCTGTAAATTATATCTGAGTATTGGAGTGTGCCCCTGTCTATCCGTCAATAAAACAAAATGTAGAAAATTGTGCCATCTGGTTTGCTTAATATAAGGAATTTGAAGTAATTTATACTTTTACTTTCACTTTGATACTTAAGTACATTTGAGCAATTCCATTTACTTTTGATACTTAGGTATATTTAAAACCAAATACTTTTGGACTTTAAGTAAAGTAGTATTTTACTGGGTGACTTCCACTTTTACTTGAGTAATTTTCTACCCACCAAGGTCTGCGGCAAGCCAACCCAGTCATGGGCAGGTGGAGGTGGTGATAGTGGGGTTTGACCAACCACCAGGGTCACGTAGCATTGATCTCCAGAACGTGGTCGTCCATAGAGGGCAGCACCAGGACCTGGCATCCCTGGCTGTGGTTGAACACCTGTCCTGGGCTGAAGGGCTCCAGGATAGACATGGGGAGAAGACAGGGCTGATGCTCCCCTGTGCCCACAGAGTGGACACTTCCCCGGCTACGGGTGCTGGCCGTGCCCCCCTGGTCGTCCAGAGGCCGGTCCAGCAGGGAGGGGGTGTCGTTCTTCTATGTCTGTGGACGGAAGAGCAAGGGGGAGTTAGCACCACAATGCATGAAATAAAAGGTGGAGTTAGCACTGGGAGGCAGGACTCACCGGTATCAGGTTGGCTGGTGGAGTTAGCACGGGTGGCAGGGGCTCACCGGTATCAGGGTTTGGGGGTTGGTGGGGGTTAGCATGGGAGGCAGGATCACCGGTATAAAGGTTGGGGTGGTGGAGTTAGCACTGGGAGGCAAGGACTCACCGGTATCAGGTTGGGCTGGTGGAGTTAGCACGGTGGCAGGACTCACCGGTATCAGGTTGGCTGGTGGAGTTAGCACCGGGTGGCAGGACTCACCGGTATCAGGTTGGCTGGTGGGTTTAGCACTGGGAGGCGGGCCCTCACCGGTATCGGTTGGCTGGTGGAGTTAGCACTGGGAGGCAGGACTCACCGGTATCAGGTTGGTGGTGGAGTTAGCACCGGGTGGCAGGACTCACCGGTATCAGGTGGCGGGTGGAGTTAGCACTGGGAGGCAGGACTCCCGGTATCAGGTTGGCTGGTGGCGTTAGCACTGGGAGGCAGGACTCACCGGTATCAGGTTGGCTGGTGGAGTTAGCACTGGGAGGCAGGACTCACCGGTATCAGGTTGGCTGGTGGAGTTAGCACCGGGAGGCAGGACTCACCGGTATCAGGTTGGCTGGTGGAGTTAGCACCGGGAGGCAGGACTCACCGGTATCAGGTTGGCTGGTGGAGTTAGCACCGGGAGGCAGGACTCACCGGCATCAGGTTGGCTGGTGGAGTTAGCACCGGGTGGCAGGAACTAAACCCTGATGAAGACAGCTTGTCTGTCGAAACGTTGGTTATTAGGATAATCAATTATTGCATCTGAGATCCTAGAGTTTGAGACTCTCCTTTTATTTTCCAAGTGTTAGCCGGCACCTCGCCTAAACAGGTGTATGTTTCTTTCGCCTCTATATTAGGCAGGTGCTAAACACCTCGACGTTAGGGAAGGGCAGGTGGCCAGCGAACAGGGGCATCAGCTCTATCTGCAGACTGTTACAAGACTGGGAACATAAGCAACTTAAAGTTCACAGACAATCCCCTGGCATGGCACAGTGCTTTAGCACTACCCATCTGTCAGGAGAGAAGGTATTGGCCCAGGGTGGAAATGCAGAATAATGGAAAACGAGGCCCCCTGAGACTGAGTCAGCCTCTGTCCATTTGTACAAGGTTGGAACAGTGGTGGTGCAGGGAAACTTCAAACACTTCCAACAGGACTTTTACACAATCAAAGAGAGAGCACAGCAGGAGTGAGGAGTGAAATGGGGAATAAATTCACCCAGCTGGAGGTAAGGTAGGTGGAGCTGGAACAGTCAGCACAGACCCAGACAACAGTCCAGCACAGCAATACCCACTCAACTAGACCCAGAGAGCTGGAGAGGTAGAGAGACATGTCTGCACTCTGGACTTTGGTGAGACAACTTCAACAGGAGACATGTCTGCCACTTGGACTTTGGTGAGACAACTTCAACAGGAGTGTGGGGAGGAGGTGAAGGACTGGAGGAGGAGGAGATGAGAGGACTGGAGGAGGAGGTGAGAAACTGAAGGAGGAGGAGATGAGAGGACTGGAGGAGGAGGTGAGAAACTGAAGGAGGAGGAGATGAGGGGACTGGAGGAGGAGATGAGAAATTTAAGGGGAAATGAAGGACTGGAGGAGATTGAGAAACTGAAGAGAGGAGAAAATATAGGTGTGACGAGAACAACCCATAAAAGCGGGCCCAAAGGGGGTTGCTTGCAAGCCGAAGAACACCATCCCAACCGTGAAGCACGGGGGGGGGCAGCATCATTTTTGTGGGTTGGCTTTGCTGCAGGAGGGACGGGTTCACGTCACAAAATAGATGGCACCCATGAGGAAAAAAAATTATGTGGATATATTGAAGCAGCATCTCAAACATCAGTCAGAAGTTAAATCATGGTCGCAAATGGGTCTTCCCCAAATGGACAATGACCCCAAGCATACTTCCAATTTTGTGGAAAAGTGGCTTAAGGACAACATTCACCAACTTATGTGGAGTTGTGAGGCTCATCACACCCCTGACCAAATACTATAGATAAATGTGTGGGTAGAACTGAAAAAACAACATTATGAAAGCCAAAAAGGCTATCCCACGGAACCAGGAGTAATGAGGGCTAAAATTCACCAACACTTATATGTGAGTCGAGAGCTGTGGAGGGACGTTACCCGAGATGTTTGAACCCAGCTAGCATGGCAATTAAATGGCAATGCTACAAAAGGAGTGACTAGGGATGAGGGGGGTTGTAAGATCTACAACCTGGCTCTTGGAGACAGAGTGCTGACGGCCACTTCATGAGGAATAAGGATTGAGATATACTTGGGAAATAACTTGGATATCGCCTGGAAAACGTGAGGAATTGGAAGGTTTTGCTGGGTGGCCTAGCTGCAACGTGGACTAATAAGGCTGGGGAAAAGTTTCAGCGAGTGGATTATGATTTGGATGGGAAGAGACATCCTGACTGTAACCTTAAAGAGCCAAAGAGAAAGAATGTTATAATTTCGTTAATGCCAAGACCTTTAATAAAATCCTGTTTTGTTTGAACCTTGTCTCCTTGCACTACTTGAGCATCCGCTGAAAGCTGTGTAGCCTATCGTGACGTCACAATTATATATATATATATATTATATATATATATACAGAGAGGGAAAAAAGTATTTGATCCCCCTGCTGTTTTTTGTAAGTTTGCCCACTGACAAAGAAATGATCAATCTAAAATTTTAATGGTAGGCTTATTTGAACAATGATAGACAGAATAACAAAAAAAAAATCCAGAAAAACGCATGTCAAAAATGTTATAAATTGATTTGCATTTTAATGAGGGAAATAAGTATTTGACCCCCTCTCAATCAGAAAGATTTCTGTCTCCCAGGTGTCTTTTATATAGGTAACGAGCTGAGATTAGGAGCACACTCTTGAAGGGAGTGCTCCTAATCTCAGTTTGTTACCTGATCTCAGCTCGTTACCTGATTAGGAGCACACTCTTAAAGGGAGTGCTCCTAATCTCAGCTTGTTACCTGTATAAAAGACACCTGTCCACAGAAGCAATCAATCAATCAGATTCCAAACTCTCCACCATGGCCAAGACCAAAGAGCTCTCCAAGGATGTCAGGGACAAGATTGTAGACCTACACAAGGCTGGAATGGGCTACAAGACCATCGCCAAGCAGCTTGGTGAGAAGGTGACAACAGTTGGTGCGATTATTCGCAAATGGAAGAAACACAAAAGAACTGTCAATCTCCCTCGGCCTGGGGCTCCATGCAAGATATCACCTCGTGGAGTTGCAATGATCATGAGAACGGTGAGGAATCAGCCCAGAACTACATGGAAGGATCTTGTCAATGATCTCAAGGCAGCTGGGACCATAGTCACCAAGAAAACAATTGGTAACACATTACGTTGTGAAGGACTGAAATCCTGCAGCGCCCGCAAGGTCTCCCTGCTCAACAAAGCACATATACATGGCCATCTGAAGTTTGCCAATGAACATCTGAATGATTCAGAGGAGAACTGGGTGAAAGTGTTGTGGTCAGATGAGACCAAAATCGAGCTCTTTGGCATCAACTCAACTCGCCGTGTTTGGAGGAGGAGGAATGCTGCCTATGACCCCAAGAACACCATCCCCACCGTCAAACATGGAGGTGGAAACATTATGCTTTGGGGGTGTTTTTCTGCTAAGGGGACAGGACAACTTCACCGCATCAAAGGGACGATGGACGGGGCCATGTACCGTCAAATCTTGGGTGAGAACCTCCTTCCCTCAGCCAGGGCTTTGAAAAAGGGTTGTGGGTGGGTATTCCAGCATGACAATGACCCAAAACACACGACCAAGGCAACAAAGGAGTGGCTCAAGAAGAAGCACATTTAGGTCCTGGAGTGGCCTAGCCAGTCTCCAGACCTTAATTCCATAGAAAATCTGTGGAGGGAGCTGAAGGTTCGAGTTGCCAAACGTCAGCCTCGAAACCTTAATGACTTGGAGAAGATCTGCAAAGAGGAGTGGGACAAAATCCCTCCTGAGATGTGTGCAAACCTGGTGGCCAACTACAAGAAACGTCTGACCTCTGTGATTGCCAACAAGGGTTTTGCCACCAAGTACTAAGTCATGTTTTGCAGAGGGGTCAAATACTTATTTCCCTCATTAAAATGCAAATCAATTTCTATATATTTTTTATATATATATATATACACATACATATATCCTTAGCTTTCTAGATATAGGACAGACACATTATACTACATTCGTTTTGCACAATTTAAAGAGAACGCAGCCATAGAATGTTGCTGCACATGACGGTCCCATGGATAATGGAAATGCATACATGACATGCCTAACAGCATCATTTCTCATAGTGAAATTCAACACCAGGTGGAGTTCCTAACTGGAAACATCCAAATCAATACAATCAAGAAAAATGTGCCTTTCAAATAGATCTGTTGAAAAAAATATATGAACGTCAGTCAGAGGCTGCCGAGGGGAGGATGGCTCGTGGTAATGGCTGGAATGGAGTAAATGGAATGGAATCAAACACATAGAAACATGATTCCATTCCACATCTATTCCGCTCCGTTACCACGGTGAAGGTGCCACCGCTCCGTTACCACGGTTAAGGTGCCACCAACCTCCTGTGATGAATGTTTGATTGCAATGACTATTCTAAATAACTGTTGTAGGTCGAAATTATTTTCATTTTCAGCATTAAAGTATTAAAGTGATAATAGAATAGTGGTACTGTAAGGTTCTATCTGTATTTTCTGTCCAAAATGTAGTTATTGACATGGTTCTGTTCAACGTTCTCTGCCTACAGTCGTGGTCAAAAGTTTTGAGAATGACACAAGTGTTGGTCTTCACAAAAGTTCGCTGCTTCAGTGTTATGAGATATTTTTGTCAGATGTTACTATGGTATATTGAAGTATAATTACAAGCATTCAAAGGCTTTTATTGACAATTACATTAAGTATGTGCAAAGAGTCAATATTTGCAGTGTTGATCCTTCTTTTTCAAGACCTCTGCAATCCGCCCTGGCATGCTGTCAATTAACTTCTGGGCGTTATCCTGACTGGTGGCAGCCCATTCTTGCCTGGAGTTTGTCAGTATTTGTGGGTTTTTGTTTGTCCACCCGCCTCTTGAGGATCGACCACAAGTTCTCAATGGGATTAAGGTCTGGGGAGTTTCCTGGCCATGGACCCAAAATGTTCATGTTTTGTTCCCCGAGCCACTTAGTTATCACTTTTGCCTTATGGCAAGGTGCTCCATCATGCTGGAAAAGGCATTGGTCGTCACCAAACTGTTCTTGGATGGTTGGGAGAAGTTGCTCTCGGAGGATGTGTTGGTACCATTCTTTATTCATGTGTTCTGAGGCACAATTGTGAGTGAGCCTACTCCCTTGGCTGAGAAGCAACCCCACACATGAATGGTCTCAGGATGCTTTACTGTTGGCATGACACAGGACTGACGGTAGCGCTCACCTTGTCTTCTCCGGACAAGGTGTTTTCCGGATGCCCCAAACAATCGGAAAGGGGATTCATCAGAGAAAATGACTTTACCCCAGTCCTCAGCAGTCCAATCCCTGTACCTTTTGCACAATATCAGTCTTTCCCTGATATTTTTCCTGGAGAGAAGTGACTTCTTTGCTGCCCTTCTTGACACCAGGCCATCCTCCAAAAGTCTTCGCCTCACTGTGCGTGCAGATGCACTCACACCTGCCTGCTGCCATTCCTGAGCAAGCTCTGCACTGGTGGTGCCCCGATCCCGCAGCTGAATCAACTTTAGGAGACGGTCCTGGCGCTTGCTGGACTTTCTTGGGTGCCCTGATGCCTTCTTCACAACAATTGAACCTCTCTCCTTGAAGTTCTTGATGATCCGATAAATGGTTGATTTAGGTGCAATCTTACTAGCAGCAATATCCTTGCCTGTGAAGCCCTTTTTGTGCAAAGCAATGATGACGGCACGTGTTTCCTTGCAGGTAACCATGGTTAACAGAGGAAGAACAATGATTTCAAGCACCACCCTCCTTTTATAGCTTCCAGTCTGTTATTCTAACTCAATCAGCATGACATAGTGATCTCCAGCCTTGTCCTCGTCAACACTCTCACCTGTGTTAACGAAAGAATCACTGACATGATGGCAGCTGGTCCTTTTGTGGCAGGGCTGAAATGCAGTGGAAATGTTTTTTTTGGCAAAGAGGGACTTTGCAATTAATTGCAATTCATCTGATCACTCTTCATGATATTCTGGAGTGTTTGCAAATTGCCATCATCAAAACTGAGGCAGCAGACTTTGTGAAAATTAGTATTTGTGTCATTTTCAAAACTTTTGACCACGACTGTATATAGTACTCCTAAATACCCCAATTCATGTTAAGTTCAAAATAATAAATTCCCCCACCAACCTTTAGTTTTCCTCTACATCATCTGTATTCTCTTCCTCCTCTTCCTCCTCTTCCTCCTCTTCCTCCTCTTCCTCCTCTTTCTGTCTTCTTCTTCTTCATCTGTCTATATGTCCTCTACATGTCTTCCTGTCCTCTTCATGTCTTCCTGTCCTCTACATGTCTTCCTGTCCTCTACATGTCTTCCTGTCCTCTACATGTCTTCCTGTCCTCTACGTGTCTTACATGTCTTCCTGTCCTCTACATGTCTTCCTGTCCTCTACATGTCTTCCTGCCCTCTACATGTCTTCCTGCCCTCTACATGTCTTCCTGTCCTCTACATGTCTTCCTGTCCTCTACATGTCTTCTTGTCCTCTACATGTCTTCCTGTCCTCTACATGTCTTCCTGTCCTCTACATGTATTCCTGTCCTCTACGTGTCTTCTTGTCCTCTACATGTCTTCCTGTCCTGTACATGTCTTCCTGTCCTCTACATGTCTTCCTGTCCTCTACATGTCTTCCTGTCCTCTACATGTCTTCCTGTCCCCTACGTGTCTTCCTGTCCTCTACGTGTCTTCCTGTCCTCTACATGTCTTCCTGTCCTCTACATGTCTTCCTGTCCTCTATGTGTCTTCCTGTCCTCTACGTGTCTTCCTGTCCTCTACGTGTCTTCCTGTCCTCTACGTGTCTTCTTGTCCTCTACATGTCTTCCTGTCCTCTATGTGTCTTCCTGTCCTCTACATGTCTTTCTGTCCTCTACATGTCTTCCTGTCCTCTACGTGTCTTCCTGTCCTCTACATGTCTTCCTGTCCCCTACGTGTCTTCCTGTCCTCTACATGTCTTCCTGTCCTCTACGTGTCTTCCTGTCCTCTACGTGTCTTCCTGTCCTCTTCTCTCAGTATCTTGTGTTTCTCCCCCCTCTCCTCCTTTTGCCTCTTCATATCCTTCATCCTGTCCCTCTCTTTCATCCTCTATTTTAGTCCCCTGCTCCTCTCCTCGCTCCCCCTCCCCTCCCTCTTCCCCTCCCTCCTCAGGCGGGTTGTCCTCCCAGTCCTCTGTCTCTAGTTCCAATTGCTCCACCCTGGTCAGGATCTTGCAGTTGCTGGACTCCAGCTCTGCCATTAGACGAGCCAGCTTTGTCTGCAGCGTGTTCAGGTTACCCTCCAGCCTCTCCACCTTGACCTCCACCTTCTCCTCCACCTGCTCCTCCTCACCCTCCGCGGCCTCCACCAACATGCCCATCTTAGTGAGGATCTGACGGCCCTTGTCCTCCAGGTGTCTCTTGGCAGCTGGGAACTCAGACAGCACGTCTGTCAGGTCCTCCTTGGACAGGCTGAACAGGTCTGAGTGGCCAATGCTGCGGATGTTGGCCGTCCGACGGTTGCCTGATTTGTTTCCTGTCAGAGGATGAGGAATGTTGTGAGGCATTTTGAGATTTAATTTGCTTGACTTACTTTGGGGCCTTCTGCTCTGCAGTCTAGACTGTGGGTCCATTGAGACATTGTGTTGGAATATTAGGGATATGATTGTCCATTGAGACATTGTGTTGGGATATTAGGGATATGATTGTCCATTGAGACATTGTGTTGGGATATTAGGGATATGATTGTCCATTGAGACATTGTGTTGGAATATTAGGGATATGATTGTCCATTGAGACATTGTGTTGGAATATTAGGGATATGATTGTCCATTGAGACATTGTGTTGGAATATTAGGGATATGATTGTCCATTGAGACATTGTGTTGGGATATTAGGGATATGATTGTCCATTGAGACATTGTGTTGGGATATTAGGGATATGATTGTCCATTGAGACATTGTGTTGGATATTAGGGATATGATTGTCCATTGAGACATTGTGTTGGAATATTAGGGATATGATTGTCCATTGAGACATTGTGTTGGAATATTAGGGATATGATTGTCCATTGAGACATTGTGTTGGAATATTAGGGATATGATTGTCCATTGAGACATTGTGTTGGAATATTAAGGATATGATTGTCCATTGAGACATTGTGTTAGAATATTAGGGATATGCTGTAAATATACTGTAATATTCTCTCTTTCTCACCTTTGATGTTGAGGATGCTTATTTCCCCAAAGAAATTGCCTTCACTCAACACAGCGAACTGTGTCACCCCATCGTCTGCAACCACAGCCAGTTTCCCATCCTTAATGATGTACATCTCATGACCCACGTCCCCCTTTCTGCACACATACTCCCCAGGACTATACACCTACAGGCAGGAGGAGGAACATGTCTGAGAAGTGATGCTATTAGCCGCACAAAAAAACAGCAAAGTAACGGTTAACTGAAATATCGTTCTCTAGCACCAGTCAAGTTAGCAGTCACATACATGCCATTGACCACGCAGACATAACAAGAATTACACACGGCTTTAAAGGAACAATCTGCAGTTAGAAAAATAACAAAGCCCCACACCCCACCACTCATTTTTGTAAACAGCTAAAGGATGGGGCTGGAGAAAGGACTGGCCATCCATGATATCAAAATGATAGTTTTAACCATGATTAAATAGGCAGTGGTTAAGAGTGTTGGGCTTTGTAACCGAAAGGTCGCTGGTACAAATCCCCGAGGTGAAATCTGTCAACGTGCCCTTGAGCAAGGCACTTAACCCTAATTGCTCCTGTAAATTGCTCTAGATAAGAGCATCTGCTAAATGACTCAAATGTTTTGGTGCTATACAGTGTTTGCTTACATTTACATTGTTGACAAACAAGGGAGTATAACAAGCTTATGTTTGGGGATCTGATGGGGTACGACAGTTGAACTAAGCTCATGAGGTATTTAAAAGTTATATCATTCAATAATCAATGGGTGTATATATTATTCATTTACAAGTCCAAAAAATGGATGTAGCAACTGCAGATTGTCCCTTTAACCCTTGACCTCTGACCTGTGGGATGAGTTTGAGCACCAGCTCCTCCAGCAGGCTTGTCTCACAGTTCTGGAAGATGGTGACCTTGGAGAGCGTGGGCAGGTGTACGCTCACAGCGATCTCTGTCTGCAGCTGGACGGGAAGCTGCTGCAGGATCTCGTTCTCCCTTGTGATCTTACGGTTGATGTACAGGTGCTGGTACCAGTCGTTGACGCGGTTACGCAACTCCTTGCTGATGTACCTGTTGCGCAGGTAGCCTTTGACCTGGAATTAAATAAAGTGGGATTAGACAGGCATGTCACAAATCCCAAGATTCTTCAGAAAGTATTTTGCCACTGGGAGAGAATACAAGCAAACTCTTTTAGGTGAAAGGCAACAGAGCAATCAATCAATCAATCAATCAATCAATCACATTTATTTTATAAAGCCCTTTTGACATCAGCAGTTTGTCAGATACCCAGCCTGAAACCCCAAAGAGCGAGCAATGTAGAGGCAGAAGCACAGTGGCTAGGAAAAACTAAGGCTGTCCGACCCCGCCTGACCCTGCCCTACCCCGACCCTGCCCGACCCCGCCTGACCCTGCCCGACCCCGCCCCTGCCCGACCCCGCCTGACCCTGCCCGACCCCGACCCTGCCCGACCCCGCCTGACCCTGCCCGACCCCGCCTGACCCTGCCCTACCCCGACCCTGCCCGACCCCGCCTGACCCTGCCCTACCCCGACCCTGCCCGACCCCGCCTGACCCTGCCCGACCCCGACCCTGCCCGACCCCGACCCTGCCTGACCCGCCTGACCCTGCCCAACCCCGACCCTGCCCGACCCGCCCATGCCCGACCCCGACCCTGCCCGACCCTGCCTGACCCTGCCCGACCCCGACCCTGCCCGACCCCGACCTTGCCCGACCCCGCCTGACCCTGCCCGACCCCGCCTGACCCTGCCCGACCCCGACCCTGCCCGACCCCGACCCTGCCCGACCCCGCCTGACCCTGCCCAACCCCGCCTGACCCTGCCCGACCCCGACCCTGCCCGACCCCGCCTGACCCTGCCCGACCCCGCCCCTGCCCGACCCTGCCCGACCCCGCCCCTGCCCGACCCCGCCTGACCCTGACTATAAAATGAAGGAGAAAACAAGGTTCTGGCCCCGCCCCTCACCAGCTCATGGTTGGGGAAGAAGACGTTGTCTCGGTCCCTGAGGTTGGTGATGACGTTCCCCACGTTCCCCACGATGGAGGCAAACGCCAGCACGGCGATCAGCAGGTCAGCGATCATAAACAGGTACTCCTCCTCACGTTCGGGCTGTGGCGTGTCGCCCACCGTGGTGAAAATCAGCGCGGAGAACCAGAAGCAGTAGATGTACTGGCGCCTCACAGAGGCGAAGACAGGGTCGGAGATGTTGGGGTAAACCCAGCGGTCCACCCCGAAGCCGATGTAACTGGACAGGGCGAAGTAGATGCAGGCGTTCCAGTGGATGAGCACAAAGATGTAGAGCATGAGCTTGGAGATCCGGAAGGTGTTGGGGTAGGAGGTGCGGGTCTCCATGCGGTCCATGGCCTCATTGAGCCGGGAGGTGCGGAGGAAGCGGTTGACCCTCACCAGCGGCTGATGGATGCCGAAGTACAGATATAGCAGGTCAGTGGGAAATATGGAGGCCATGTCTAACAGGAAGCGTGAGGAGAGGAGGTAGCGCTTCTTCAGACGGGCCCTGTCCTGCACCAGGATGCCTTGCTCCAGGAAACCTGCAAGGGGCAGCACAGCACATATACAGTCTGGGTCAGAGTTTAGTTCATGTCACCAGAGAAATAGAAATATGCATTGCATAACTAAGCTAAGCCTGGGAGTCATCACGAAAGAAAAGGAAGTAATTAACTCTCTCCCTCCTCTTACAGAATTCAGTCATGGGCTTCCCACACTATTGCTTTTCACATGGTTTAAGAGCATTACAAAGCAACTGCCTTTAAAAAGCAACAAATCCCTTTGAAAACGGCCTATGTGACATTGATATCTGCCAGAAACGATTATTCTAGTGTAAAAATGTACTACAAAGTGTAAATAGGATAATTTTTGTCATAAAGATTTGAAGATGTACATTTGCCCACTAACATGTGGTGAACAGCTGTGGTGATTGCTCTCTATCCAATAGCATAGACAGTGAAAACAGACCTGCCCAGCAGCCCGACTTTGTTTACATAAGACCACACTTTGCGAATGTTTTAACTTGCAAAATACTGCAACAAACACCTTAGATGTAAAATTGCGCAACGAAATCATCTGTTTTTGCCGTGATCGTAGATCATTCTGGGGATTTAACATTCCACTGTGGATCGTGATCACACACACACACACACACACACACACAACACACACACACACACACACACACACACACACACACACACACACAACACACACACACACACACCACACACACACACACACACACACACCAGATGACGACACACCACACACACAACACCACACACAGACCACACACAGATCACACACACACACACACAGATGCGCGCACACACACACAACACACACACACAAGACAACACACAGATCGCAACACACACCATGCGCACACACACACACCACCACAGATGCGCGCACACACACACACCACACACACACACCAGATGCCACAACACACACACCCCAACACCACAGATCACACACACACACACACAACACACACCAACACAACCACAACAAAACCACACCACACACACCACAGCACACACACCGACACCACACACACACACAAAAACACAACACACAGATACACACACCACACACAACCACACATCCACACAACACACACACACACACACCCAACACACCACACACACACACACACACACACACCCCACACACACACACCACACAGTGCACACACACAACACACAACACACACACAGATTGCAACACACACAACACACAGATGCACAGACACACACACACACACACACACACACACACACCACCACACACGACACCAACACAGACCAATGCACAGACACACACACACAACACACACACAGATGCACACACACACACACATCACACACACACACACACACACACCAACACACACAACACACACACCACACACACCCCACACACACACACAACACACACACCACCACACACAGATGCACGACACACACCAGAGGCCACACACACACACAGACACAGGACACACATCAACACACACACACGATGCACACACACACACACACACAACCAGCCCACACAACACACACACACACAACACATCGAACACACCACAACACACACAACACACACTACAGAGCACACACACACAGATCCAGCACACACACACACACACGATGACACCACACACACACACACACACAGATTGCACAGACACACACACACACAGATGCGCAGCACACACAACACACTGCACACAACACACACACACACAGATTTCACAGACACACACCACCAACACAGCAAACCACACATCAGTCACAACACACAACACAGCATGCACAGACCACACACACCCACACATGCACCACCACACAACACACACACACAACAATCACAACACACACACCACACACACACACCACACACAGATGCACACCACACACACACATCACACACATACTGGCACACAACTCACACACACACACAATGCCACAGACCACACACACAACACACACACAACACACCACACACACAACACCAATGCCAACACACACATACACGATCACACACACAACAAAACACTTGTCACCAAATCAGCAACATACATCAACTACAACAGCACAAGACAAACGACTTAGTAACACACGCACACCACAGCAGAACGTTACACATCATAAGCTACATTACACACACACACCACAGGCACCACCAATACAAGTACAGACTACACAACGCTTACACACAACATCATGTCAACACGATCTTAAACACCCACTCAACAGATGCCAAACACACAACCAAGATGCCACAACCATAGCATTTCATAGCCTGACAGACTCATGTACACAGCATAAACACACTTTGAAAACACAAGCAACTCCTAAAACACAGTATCTCAACAGAGGACTGCTGACCTTTCAAACACATACGCAACAAAATGCTACACATTATTCACAGTCACACAACACATCCCAGTGCAAGACACATTGCACTATCCCTAACCAACACTGCTTACTAGTATAAGCCAAATACAATCAGATACCTGTCAAAGGAAAACAGAATAACACCAAACCATGATACGCCTTGACAAGCTACATGCTTTCAAACGCTAGAACATTGACTCATAAGACTAAGGTTTAATATAAGCGATATGGATAAGATTCAATGCAGTCATTATAACCACGTAGTTTCGCTGTTCCCAATTAAAACTTTTTCCAACGAGTCGACTGTCAGTTCATATTCATTCACCTAGTTCAATGTAACATCGAAGGTTTAGGCTACTACATGAAACTCACATTTTCCCTATACCCATCATGAGGTTGCACAACCTAGCCTATGAATTAAAATGTACAACGTAGGTGCACTCAGGTCGAGAGACACATTTGATATGACGACAGTGGCCCATGGTCAGACAGTGGCATTCAAAACCGCCTTGCACACTCTTGCCTGCATCTAACTGATCTAGGGTGTAATCATTAGTCCAACAGTTGCAAACAAGTTTCTATTGGACAGATTCAGGTATTGTTTATCCCCGTTTCGTTCCGTTTGCTTCCGTTTAAGAAACGTTTTTCAACAGAATCGGCGGAATGAATACACCCCTGATCACGCATAAACACAGTTCACAGTTTCATAGCAGCCACGTTGTATTCCTTCTCGCATCTTTGCGCTCTCCTCCTCTCACCGCTTCCCTTCACTTGTGGACTTCAATGCACAACACATCAGCTGTATGTGACCAGGCGAAAAAAACTTTCCAAGCCAAACCATGTCATAACCTGCTTCACACAGCCTACATCGTTGTCACCATATTAGCTAAAGTAACGTCATAGTCAACATAGCTAATAGAACTAACGCGTTAGTAAACCCGCTACAATCATGCAGTAACGTTACAATGTATAGTCATTAAGCAGGTACACCGGCAGGCCCCGGTGGCAATAAATTACAGTTTTTTCCAACTGCTTACACACTAAATATTTTCATGTCACACGATTTTTGAAACCTCTCACTCAAAGTGCCAAACTACACACCAAATCTCCAAAACCATAAGCTATTTCTCAGCCTTTGACTCAGTTGTCAATTGCATAAAACACTTTTTTCAAAACACTACACACAATTCTCTACCTAAAACACAAATATCTAACAGGAAGTGACTTGCTTTCCTTTTCCAAACACAACCAATCAAAATGCTACACTTATTCACCAGGTCACACACACACTCCTCACATGTGCAAACACTAATTGCTTAACTGATCACTAACCAATCACTGCTTTACTGTAGTATAGGCCTATAAATAGGTCAAAGGTCAGATAACCTGTTTAGAACAATGGATGCCAACAATGGACAGAGAGCAAGAGGAATAGGAGGGAGAGGGAGGGGACAACAATGAGGACAAATTCAAAGACGAAGAGTTGGAAGAGGAGGAGGAGGAGGAGGAAGAGGAAGAGGAAGAAGAGGGCGAGGGCAAAGAAGAGAAGGAAGGATCTCTGATGAGATTAGGGCAACACTTGTTGATCATGTGATCAACCACGGTTTGACCATGAGAGAGGCTGGACTGAGAGTCCAGCCCAACTTGAGTCGATTTACAGTGGCGTCCATAATTCGAACCTTCAGAGATGAGAACAGGTATGCAACTATCTAATGACTATTTTAGCATTACAGTAATGTACTGTAAAATACGTATGACTGCATAGTATTGCATAAACATTTGTAACTCTAAGCCATCCATTTACTGCACTGCATTGCACTCTGTCCAAGGTTGGATACGCCATAACTAGGAGATACTTCCCTCGATGTTTGACAAGAGAAAACGTATTTTGTGATGTGGACGAAGTATTGTGGCCAGACCCAGCCTGGAGAAGAGATGAAGCATAGCTTAGCACCAGCCCTACACCAATTCCTGGACTGCCCCCCCCGGGACCCCACCACACAATTGTGTTCTTTACTGTATTCTAAAGAATATACTTTTGGTTTACATATGTTTATGGTTTTGTTGTATGCTACTGTATACAACAGTAATGTTTGGCCTAATAAATATTTTCTGTTTCTACATTGCATTGGTGTTTACAGTGTACTTGTTACCCCTCTCAGCAGATTACTTTCACTGTAGAACATTGTATTGCAATGTAGATATAAGCCTATGAAAGACCAAAGAGCTTTAGATTTAGAACAACAGTGTTTACATGGTATATCCAAACATGTACTATTATGAAAGAAGTGTTTGCCATTTGATGCAAATGCTTCATTCTGACATGTGTTTATGGCATTTTGAATGCAGTGTTACATTTTGAAGGAGATGTGAGGCATTTTGCATTTTGTGTGTGTGCAGTTTTGGGAATTGTGTGTTGAGTTTTGAAAACGTTTTAAAAAATAGTTTTGAAAACGTGTGTAAGCAGTTGGAAAAAACTGTAATAAAACCAAACGCTTACCTTGACTTGGAAGAGTTCCAGTGTTGTGTTGGATAGTCATAGCCAGCTAGCTAACATAGCATCCCTCTGTTTGAGCAGGGTGTTTCAGTAGGCTAAACTAGCTAGCTGTATTTGCTAAGTAATTGAAACTGAAAGTGAAAAAAAGTACTCTCTCTTGCTTCTCCTTCATTTAGGAAGACATTAATTTGTTCAAAACTGTTCATCTATTGTTTTTCTCTCTTTAAATCAACTACTCACCACATTTTATGTATTGCAGTGCTAGCTAGCTGTAGCTTATGCTTTCAGTACTAGATTAATTATCTAATCCTTTGATTGGGTGGACAACATGTCAGTTCATGCTGCAATAGCTCTGATAGGTTGGAGGACATCCTCCAGAAGTTGTCATAATAACTGTGTAAGTCTATGGAATGGGGTGAGAACCATGAGCCTCCTAGGTTTTGTATTGAAGTCAATGTACCCAGAGGAGGACGGAAGCTAGCTGTCCTCCGGCTACACCATGGTGCTACTTACAGAGTGCTGTTGAGGCTACTGTAGACCTTCTTTGCAAAATAGTGTTTTTATCAATTATTTGGTGACGTGATTATATTAAATGTTTTACTATTTAAAAATGTATGACATTCACTGAGGAGGATGGTCCTCCCCTTCCTCCTCTGAGAAGCCTCCACTGATACACATATAAAGGTTTCCATTTGTAAAAAAGAAACTCTTTACCCGTGCGAAATTTTATGATGGTATCAGCCACATACAGGAGATCGGAGCAGTAGTCCAGTGTGAGCCACAGTACCAGGTACGTCTCATCTATTTCCTTAAAGCATGTCCTAGAAAAGAAGGTCAAATTCTATTTCAAAATATCTACAAAACGACATTTCAATCGGTTTACATTTTCTGGGTCTGTGAGGTCTATTTATTATTCAGGTTTGTTATTGACCATTGGCACCTATAGAAATGGATCACTGGCCGCTATACTACAATGCTAAAATATATATTGAGCCGGGGAAATTAAACATTATTATTATTATTATTGTTATACGTTTGAGGCACCCACCTGCAGATGATGAGGACCCAGTTGTAGAAGATGGGAACGATCATGACCTGTAGCCATCCATAATAAAACTCCTCTGACGGGTCAACCACCCACTCCATCCATCTGATCGGGAGATGGCCACAGAGAGAAAGAAATGGATGATTCACATTCAGATGAAAGGCAAGGCCACTGTTGCTAAAGCCAAGTGAGATAACGACATCAACAATAACCATAACGGTAAAAGGAAGAAAAAAAAAGAAAAAAGTTGTCATGGTGATTAGATTAAGGAGTAACATTCAACAACATCAATCTAGAGCCTATATATACTCGTATACCTTATTCAGTAATAAATTGTGTCTATCACGTATCCGTCATGTTTTGCCCCAGTCTCTTACCTCACTTTGGGCTTTGCCTTCTCATCTTTCCTCTCCTCTTTCCCCTCCTCTTTCCCCTCCTCGTCCTCCTTCTGCATCCGATGCCACCTGAACACCCTCGCCCATCGGTTCATTCTGCCTCTTCTAATCTGTCAGGGTTTGGCCTCAATCATCTCTGGTGCTCGACCTTCACCTTCACCCGGACGGTACCTGCTAGTAATAATGGAGTATGAGTGCAAGGTGCCCACACAACGCTGTTGGCTGGTGTTTTAGCAACGTTGCCGTGTTAACATGACAACAAGCCAAGCCTACCTGAGCAGCGTCACACCTGTTGATCATGCTGGACTGTCTCCAGGGGACTCTAACCAGGCAGCAGGTAGATCCCTTCAGGGACTTCATTTGTTCGTGAACCAACTAGTGCTGTCCTGCAGCAGAGCATCCCAAAGGGTTTAGAAGGCGTCGATTTCTCAGTTTATTTGTTGGGGGTAGGCTATAAAACAAACAAACAAACAAATATGGAATGTTAGCCTATGGTTTTATTAATTGAGCTCAAATATTTTCGACAGTCCTCCTCTGTGTTACCCTCACTCACCCCACATTCTATGTATTTTGGGGGGTCCAAGGTTCCTTGAAGGATGTCCATCTTTCGCCCCTACTGTTGTAATTAAGTCAGGGGTCACCACAGATTATCTTTGAGGCTTCCATGGATTTTGCCTGAAATCCGATATGGTGTCCGAAATCCAATATGGCTGCCATAAAACCATTTGATGGAGGTTGATGACATGTAAATATGAATTTTGTATAAAAGTGGCACTGTCATGCCTCTGTTGTATTAGAATACCTGAAGCCAAATAGATTTTCACTTACAGCATATCAACAATTCTGAAAAATATAACAAGGCTTTTACAACACGAGCACACAGTTGCGTAACCAAGTGACAGGAAAGCAACCTGCAATTCAACAGTCAGCCACTCTAGTAGTGTTTACAGTGCGCTTCAGGAAGTATTCACACCCCTTGACTTTTTCCCACATTTTGTTGTGTTACAGCCTGAATTTAAAATGGATTAAATTGAGATATTTTGGTTACTGGTCTACACACAATACCCCATAATGTCAAAGTGAAATTATGTTTTTCAAAATGTTTACAAATTAATAAAAAATGAAAAGCTGAAATTTCTTGAGTCAGTAAGTATTCAACCCCTTTGTTATGGCAAGCCTAAATACGTTCAGGAGTAAAAATGTGCTTAACAAGTCACATAATAAGTTGCATGGACTCACTAATAGTGTTTAACATGATTTCTTTATGACTACATCATCTCTGTACCACACACATACAATTATATGTAATTTACAGAGTTTAATGGCTGTGATAGGAGAAAACTGAGGATGGATCAACAACAGTGTATTTAATCCACAATACTAACCGAATTGACAGAGTGAAAAGAAGGAAGCTTGTACAGAATAAAAAATATTCCAAAACATTCATCCTGTTTGTAACAAGGCAATAAAGTAAAACTGCAAAAAACTGTGGCAAAGCAATTACATTTTGGTCCTGAATACAAAGTGTTATGTTTGAGGCAAAACCAATACAACACATTACTGAGTACCACTCTCCATATCTTCAAGCATAGTGGTGGCTGCATCATGTTATGGGTATGCTTGTAATAGTTAAGGATTGGGGAATTTTTCAGGATAAAAAAGAAATGGAATGGAGCTACAGTGGGGAAAAAAAGTATTTAGTCAGCCACCAATTGTGCAAGTTCTCCCACTTAAAAAGATGAGAGAGGCCTGTAATTTTCATCATAGGTACACGTCAACTATGACAGACAAAATGAGAAAAAGAAATCCAGAAAATCACATTGTAGGATTTTTAATGAATTTATTTGCAAATTATGGTGGAAAATAAGTATTTGGTCAATAACAAAAGTTTCTCAATACTTTTTGTTGTATACCCTTTGTTGGCAATGACACAGGTCAAACGTTTTCTGTAAGTCTTCACAAGGTTTTCACACACTGTTGCTGGTATTTTGGCCCATTCCTCCATGCAGATCTCCTCTAGAGCAGTGATGTTTTGGGGCTGTCGCTGGGCAACACGGACTTTCAACTCCCTCCAAAGATTTTCTATGGGGTTGAGATCCGGAGACTGGCTAGGCCACTCCAGGACCTTGAAATGCTTCTTACGAAGCCACTCCTTCGTTGCCCGGGCGGTGTGTTTGGGATCATTGTCATGCTGAAAGACCCAGCCACATTTCATCTTCAATGCCCTTGCTGATGGAAGGAGGTTTTCACTCAAAATCTCACGATACATGGCCCCATTCCTATGATGAAAATTACAGGCCTCTCTCATCTTTTTAAGTGGGAGAACTTGCACAATTGGTGGCTGACTAAATACTAAATAAGGAGCTTCTTGTTTGCCAATATCTAACAATTTAACCGCTTTAGCAGTCAAATATTTTTACACAGCCATCCATTTCATAAACGTGAGACATAAGAGATGGTTGTGTTTTGCTCTACCTCGGGTAGGGGTATCAAAAAAATAAAATAAAGCCCTTTTTGAGGATTGGCCACTAGCTTAATGGGAAATGTGTTTTTAAGCTCATGGGTGAATATCTCTCACACAGCATGCCTGACAGGTAAAGAAGTGCACGAGTGCTTTTCAGATAGGTGTGTGCTATCCGGAATCCTTGGGATGTCCCGACTCCATTTAAGTTGACATTTAAAAAGGTTAGGGTTATGGTTATGGTTATGGTTAAGGATAAGGTAGGGTTTAAGGTTAAGGTTAGGGTTTAGGGTAAGGATGTCCGAAGGATACGCAGTAGCACTGACCCTTTCAGATAGGAGGCTGCTTTTAAGGGCGGTGGAGGGATTGTGGACTGTGTGAAGCTAGCCACAATAAGGATTAGCCACAATAGTGGAATTTGAGTTCTGCCTTCAAAATAAAAGTCCCCCATTGAAAGTGAGGCAAACGGATACAAAGAGTGGAATCAAGACATATTTGGACTAGAAAAATGCTAAACAAGGTTGTAATGTTGCTACATAATTTACAGTTAAATACAATAATGTATTATTTTGTCAATAAACTGAAAACACTGTTGAAATTCCGCTGTGGATGTATTAGACTGCATAATTGAATTGGGGGCATACTTATATGCACTGTACAGCCTTACCTGTGGATTGTGCACCCATTAAATGGGGTATCAGCCTAATCAGAGACATTCACAGGACACACCTGTGTATATATTACGGTGTCTGCTCTTATTGCCGGACTTCAGTGAAATCAGTGTGAAATGAGCCACATTAAGCTCACCAGTCAGCCTGCTTTGCACTGAACATTCATATTGCAATGTACAGCCTTGCCTGTGGATCTTGGGTCCATGAAATGGGCTATCAGCCTACTCAGTGACAGTATTTAAGATACCCAATGATAACAAATTGCAACATAAATAATGTTTTAATCAGTATTTATTTAAATAAATCATTTTTCCAGAGGGAATCGAAAAACAGTAACCCATTTCAGAAACTGAAAATGTTCCCTAATAAGCGAGCAAGCTCCTGGAAACACAAAGCATCAACACCCTATTTACAAGATAATGTAGAATAAAGTACACTACCAGTCAAAAGTTTGGACATACCTACTCATTACAGGCTTTTTCTTTATTTTTACTATTTTTTACATTGTAGAATAATAGTGACGACATCAAAACTATGAAATAATAATTAGTCATTTAGCAGACGCTCTTATCCAGAGCGACTTACAGGAGCAATTAGGATTAAGTGCCTTGCTCAAGGGCACATCGACAGATTTTTCACCTAGTCGGTTCGGGGATTAGAACCAGCAACCTTTCGGTTACTGGCACAACGCTCTTAACTACTAAGCTACCTGCTTAGTGTAGTAACCAAATGTAGTAACCAAAAAAGTGTTAAACAAATCAAAATCTATTATATATTTGAGATTCTTCAAATAGCCACCCTTTGCTTTGATGACAGCTTTGCACACTCTTGGCATTCTCTCAACCAGCTTAATAATGTAGTCACCAGGAATGCATTTCAATTAACAGGTGTGCCTTGTTAAAAGTTAATTTGTGGAATTAATGCGTTTGAGCCAATCAGTTGAGTTGTGACAAGGTAGGGGTGGTATACAGAAGATAGTCCTATTTGGTAAACGACCAAGGCCATATTATGGCAAGAACAGCTTAAATAAGCAAAGAGAAATGATAGTCCATCATTACTTTAAGACATGAAGGTCAGTCAATACGGAACATTTCAAGAACTTTGAAAGTTTCTTAGGCAGAACATCTATGTTTTCCCAATAGAGGTTCTGAAAATATTTGTATAAGAGAAGCAGGAGTCATTAATACAGACTTGACAGACTTGTTTTGAAAGCATGATCATATCATCTATAATCCCACCACTAAATATTCACCAGATTGTTGTGTACATCTATAATCCCAGCGCTCCATCTTTACCAGATTGTGGTACACATCTATAATCCCAACGCTCCATCTTTACCAGATTGTTGTACACATCTATAATCCCACCACTAAACCACTTTCCCTTTTTATTGTATCATAATCCTCTCTAGTTTGTGGACATGCTAGGCACTTAGATGGCTTGGGAATTGCAACAGATGAATTCTTGTCATTGCACCTGTCAGTGCAGATATGAGTGGTCTGTCCGCAGGCTATGTCCCTTCCATCTTCAAGAAAGCGAGAGTTGCACCCCTCCTCAAATAAACTACACTCGATCCCTCCGATGTCAACAACTACAGACCAGTATCCCTTCTTTCTTTTCTCTCCAAAACTCTTGAGCGTGCCGTCTATAGCCAACTCTCCTGCTATCTCTCTCAGAATGACCTTCTTGATCCAAACCACTCAGGTTTCAAGACTGGTCATTCAACTGAGACTGCTCTTCTCTATGTCACGGAGGCTCTCCGCACTACTAAAGCTAACTCTCTCTCCTCTGCTCTCATCCTTCTAGACATATGTGCTGCCTTTGATACTGTGAACCATCAGATCCTCCTCTCCACCCTCTCCGAGTTGAGCATCTCCAGCGCGGCTCACTCTTGGATTGCGTCCTACCTGACAGGTCGCTCCTACCAGGTGGCGTGGCGAGAATCTGTCTCCGCACCACGTGC